ATTCATTAATAGGCTGACCACTATAGCAATAAGCTCTTACTCTTCCATTTAATGAGTTAAATGAAAGTAGATTATTCATCATGAATCAACCATTATGTCATGGACCAAACTTTTCTGTAGAGAATATTCAAATCTAAATTATCACTTATTTAATGAATTCCTTTAATACTTTCAGCATTGTGCTAAGGCCTACAGAATATAGAAATATATATGAGATATGATTCCTGCCATCAGGGAGTTTTAACTTACTCTTTAAAACCAAAATTCTTCTGTCTTATGGATTTTTCCCAAGGAAGAAATTCAACTGAAGCATAAAGGTACATGTTCTGGGATTATATAATCATCTGTAATAAATTTAATAAGGTTGCTAGCAATTTAAGAGTCTGACTCAGGGAATTAACAAATTATTAAGCATCAACCTACAGAATACTATACACTCACTTGAATATTAGTTATGAAGACCACTAACATATAGAAAATATTCATCAGTATGTGAAATAAAGGCAATACAAAATAGAATGGACCCTATCTGTACAGTCTTGCTAACCATATATAAATGTAAGAGCTAGGAAAAAGTTATGTTAGAGTGGTAAGGGGAGAAAAGCCTTTAAGCGTGTGATAATTTCATATTAAAACAAGATCCATATGGTAATTCTATTTTTAATTTTTTAAGGAACCTCCATACTGTTCTCCATAGTGGCTGTATCAATTTACATTCCCACCAACAGTACAAGAGTGTTCCCTTTTCTCCACACCCTCTCCAGCATTTATTGTTTCTAGATTTTTTAATGGTGGCCATTCTGACTGGTGTGAGATGGTATCTCATTGTAGTTTTGATTTGAATTTCTCTAATGATTAATGATGTTGAGCATCCTTTCATGTGTTTGTTGGCAATCTGTATATCTTCTTTGGAGAAATGTCTATTTAGGTCTTCTGCCCATTTTTGGATTGGGTTGTTTGTTTTTTTGTTATTGAGCTGCATGAGCTGCTTGTAAATTTGGAGATTAATCCTTTGTCAGTTGCTTCATTTGAAAATGTTTTCTCCCATTCTGAGGGTTGTCTTTTGGTCTTGTTGATGGTTTCCTTTGCTGTGAAAAAGCTTTGAAGTTTCATTAGGTCCCATTTGTTTATTTTTGTTTTTATTTCCATTTCTCTAGGAGGTGGGTCAGAAAGGATCTTGCTGTGATTTATGTCATAGAGTGTGCTGCCTATGTTTTCCTCTAAGAGTTTGATAGTGTCTGGCCTTACATTTAGGTCTTTAATCCATTTTGAGTTTTTTTATGTGTATGGTGTTAGGGAGTGTTCTAATTTCATACTTTTACATGTACTTGTCCAGTTTTCCCAGCACCACTTATTGAAGAGGCTGTCTTTTCTCCACTGTATATTCTTGCCTCCTTTGAGAATGGACTTGAGGATATGGGGAGGGGGAAGGGTAAGCTGTGACAAAGTGAGAGAGTGGCATGGACATATATACACTACCAAACGTAAAATAGATAGCTAGTGGGAAGCAGCCGCATAGCACAGGGAGATCAGCTTGGTGCTTTGTGACCGCCTGGAGGGGTGGGATAGGGAGGGTGGGAGGGAGGGAGACGCACGAGGGAAGAGATATGGGAACATATGTATATGTATAGCTGATTCACTTTGTTATAAAGCAGAAACTAACACACCATTGTAAAGCAATTATACTCCAATAAAGATGTTAAAAAAAAGATCCAAAAATAAATAAATAAAAATTTTAAAAAACAAACAAACAAGATCCTACCTTGGAATAGTGTTTCTCAAAGTATAACTTTTCTTGAATTATTTTTAATAGGTCTCTTACTTTTATATTTACATGATGATTATAAAATATGGAAAACTTTTGAGGATAAAAACCTTCCTGCTTTTTAATGGCAGTTTTAATACCTACTGGTAACATAAGAACTTTCTAAATTAAAATATTAATACTATTATGAACTCAAAGGGCTCATTAGAATCAAGACTTCTTGGCTCTATCAGTGCTATTCATTTTCACATATTTAGATATATTGAGAGTATGTGTTTATTGCACCTTAAACTATACTATTACCTATTCTAGCTATACTGCAGCCCTTTCTCTAATCTTAATTGACCATAATTTATACCTGGAAGAATTTCCTAATTCTACCCCCTCCTCATTTATTCAGAGGAAAGTAGTAGACCTTTGACCTTCTGTTCTACAATATGTACTTTTTTTCTGTGAGGTTTTGCTATAAAGACATTTCTCAGGTGGGAAGCTCCCACTAGTCACCAAATAGCAGAAATTTCTACATGCTCAGCAAATAGCAGACTGAATTTATCATTGTACATGGTTGATAAGAAAGGGCACTTATTGTTTATTAGGTAATATTCCAGAGAGTTCATGTGAGGGTGATAGCACCCAGCCCTCAAAGCCAGAAAATAGCAGCATTTTTCAACTTCGTTATAAGGTGAAAGAAAAGTTATTGCACAGTGGCTGTGAAAAATGAGGGAACGCTGACCTTCCTAAATCAACTGTCAGTGCCGTCGTATAAAGGCCAAAGTGTAACTAGGTTACTAAAGATGTGTGGAGAGAAAGGGAATTATGGTATTGAAACATTCCAGGAGCAAATAGTGGATGCCTTTCAACAGAGAAATAGGCCATTTAAGTCATTTAGTATACAGAATGTCCTTCCATGGCCTTTCTATACTAAGGACATAAAATTAGCAAATTACATTTCCACTCACCAATTATATGAATTGTGAAAGCTCAAGAGTTATTCCAGCATTATCTCGGGAGAGAGAAATGGAAGTTATTTGACTATGTCTGTGCATCAAGAATGGCATAGGAGTATGAAGAGAAAGTCACCTAAACACATCCTTTTAGTCTGGTTCAGTTTCAACAGATTTCTCAGACAAGTAATTAAAAGACATGAGAGCCACAGTGTTTTGAAATAGGACATTCAGCTTCCTAACGTGTATTGTTTTATTTATGTTAATAAGCAATAAGGATATCCTGGGCATTTTGATATTTAAACTTGGTCAGTGAACTTACTACAGCACTATTTCCTGAAGTATGTTCTGTAGGAAACTGTTCAGATAATTTAGGAAAATAGTACAGAAGCTATTTTGAATCCTCTTATGTATTCATATTGTACATTAGGATAGTGAAGGGTCTAAAGAACGCCACAATTCAAAACCCTGTTTAACTCTGTTTGCCATGGAGAACTTTATTGTTTTATTGATATATGAACTTTTTTTTATTTGATAATTCTTATTAATATAAACAACTCTAGGAAACTAAGAAATATAGCAACCGTTAAAGTGTTTATTGGTGGTAGATGCCATGATAGCTTTTCAACCTTTAACATAACTAAACTTTGTTTAGGGTCAAATCATGAATCATTCTGATATTAATTAGAATGAAATAGCCGTAATCAAATAGCATTGCAGTTTTTAGTACAGGAAAATAAAATGTGGCTTTACAGCCTCCAAAATAGGAAATATGGTAACAGAATTGAGTAGTGGTAAAAAGAACACAAGTCACTGTGAAGAGTTACCAGACTCCATATGGACTACAGTGTAATCACAAGATACATGCATTTAGTTTATGCAAATTTCAATTATATGGAAAGAGCAATAATGCCTGGATTTCCCTGTCATCCTTCTTCACCCCCCTGTCCACCTTCAACTAGAATTCAGTTTAGAAAAGTAGAAGTCAATGTAGAATCAAAGAAAAACCAAAGAAATGAATTTTAGGTCTTTAGTAGGGACTTTGTCCTAAATAATTCCAAGAGGCGTCTTTCCGGGTCTTCGGGAGTCATACAGTGTACAACCTGTATGCCCATGTATTATGTACATCTCTGGCTTTTGTGCTCCTAAAGACCCGAGTCCTGGTGATATACCTATATGTATCTATATCTATGTATTCACACATTCACTAGCCTTTTCAAAATAATACCTTTATATTATTTTTATATTAAAACTACAAAAATATCTCCAACTGGAATGCCCTTCTGCATCAGATCTTAGGAACAGAAATACACATTTCTGTATCACTTACTTTAAGATCCATCAATGACAGATTCCTTTTTCTTGTTAACCCAAGCTTGCATTGATTTTGGTTTCGTTTTGTGCTTTATTAATATCTGTGCTTTGGGCTGTGTTACCCTATACTTGGATGTATGTAAATCTTATTCATGCAGTTGAGCTCTATGACAGCAGAAATTACTTTTTAATAAATAATAAATTGTTGTTGAATGTTTGCAAATGTGAAAAAGGGGACTTCCCTGGTGCCACAGTGGTTAAGAATCTGCCTGCCAATGCAGGGGACATGGGTTCGATCCCTGGTCCAGGAAGATCCCACATGCCACAAAGCAGCTAAGCCTGTGCGCCACGACTACTGAGCCTGCGCTCTAGAGCTCACTTGCTGCAATTACTGAAGCCCGTCCACCTAGAGCCTGTGCTTCTCAGCAAGAGAAGCCACCACAATGAGAAGCCCGCGCACTGCAACGAAGAGTAGCCCCCACTCGCCACAACCAGAGAAAGCCTGCGCGCAGCAATGAAGACCCAACGGAGCCAAAAATAAATAAAATTTTTTTTAAAAAAATGTGAAAAAGGCCAAAGGGCATAGATTCAGTGGCAGGTCAGAAAGCGTATGACTGAATAGCCTGTGGCTAGTTACTTTCTTTTGGGGTATTCCTCAAATTTGAAAACAGAATTTCATGCAAGAGAAAAAAGTAAACAGAAGTTAGCAAGATGTGGGTTTTCTCAAGATACATCAAGTATAAGACCTAGTAGTGGCAAAAAGCAGGAAAAGACAAAAGAAACTGACAAGTGAAACTGACCAGGTGTAAGTGGCTGATTTGAATATGATGGAAAATTTTTAAATCTCTAGTTTTCTATGGAGGATGAAAACATCTGATGTAAGAATACTGTAAAATTTAAAAATAAAGTTGGGCATTTTTTGCTTTATCTTGCTTTTAAATGGTCTCCATGCTTGTTTGTTTGTTTTTTCCTTGTAGAATGCCAGACTCCCCTGGTGAAGTTCCCGAATATCCTTTGTTTGTGACGGTCGGTGACTGGCTGGATTCTATAAAGATGGGGCAATATAAGAATAACTTCATGGCAGCAGGGTTTACAACTTTTGACCTTATTTCAAGAATGAGCATTGAGTAAGTGGTGCTATGTTTATTACTATATTGAGATGCTCCACTCAGGAGATTATAAATTCAAATACTATATCAAGAACACCATGGTTAAACTACCTTAAACTAGGATGGTGTTTCCACATCTTTCCTCACCGTTTCTGTCGATCATTCCAGTGAAAGTTGGACATTACACTTTTAACTATTTTCCTTTGAAAGAATATATTTAATTCAAAAAACTATTTAAAATTTTAAATGCTTTCTAAAATGCATATTACTCTTGTTCACATCATAGATTTACATCAACATAGTTTTACCTTAGCAAATTATTTTTGACTCATGTATACTAAATCAATTCCTATTACTTTCATCAAATGTAATAATTGTAATAATACGATATTATGTTATCTCAGAGCTTTTTCTCTATGTTATCTCAGAGATTTTTCTTAAAAGAAAGATACTAAAGATCTTTCTGCTTAAAAGAAAGATACTAAAACTAGTAGGTGAAGCCATATGAAATTGCCATTGTTGTAAAATAGTAATGGTAATTTCATACTGTTCAACATAATGTAATGGCAGTTTTTCAGATTATTGAAAGACCATGACAATTAAAATGGAGTCCACATTATACTTTCTATCCTACATGCTATTTTGCTAATACTGTTGAAAATTTATATAATTACATAAAACCCTTGGGCTTATGAAATATCTGAACATTACCTCGGTGCCTGAATTCTTTGTACCCTTAAATCTGAGGTTGACCTGACGCACTCTCTGGCACCAGGGTAAAGAAAAAGGTAACGAACTCCTGTTGTTCGTTTATATCTCTGCTTAAACTCTCATTTTACCAGGTATACAATTTTTGGCAAATCTGACATGGGACACATTTACCATATCTAAATGTTCATTTCCTCTCTGTCATACTTACCAGATCTAAATGTTCATATTCTCTCCTTCCCTCTCTCTCTCTCTCTCACTCTCTCTCTCTCAATCTCTCACAGTGATATTAGAAGAATTGGAGTCATACTCATTGGACACCAGAGACGAATAGTCAGCAGTATACAGACTTTACGTTTACACATGATGCACATACAGGAGAAAGGATTTCATGTATGAAAGTACTACAAGCACCTGTGTTTTGTGCCTCAGCATTTCTAAAATGAAAGATATCTTCTCTACTACCCTCTCTTCTGATTCTCCAAACATCACTTCACAAACTGCAGTCTCCTGTCAGACTATGGGCACACACCCTTTGTTTATGCTTCCAACCTGGATTTAAAAATCACTCATCATAGCTCCTCTCTGAATAACCTGCAAATAAAACCCTGGCCCACTGCAGATTATCATTACACAATGGTAAATAACTCAGCATGGATGTGTAACTTTGTATAATTGTATTTCGGAAGTGTTCAAGGACTTAACCCAAAGGAATTTGGGGTTAATGATGTATTTAGAGTTTGATGGTAGATTAAAAAGAAGGAGTTGACCTTTCTTTCATGTTTTGTGAAACATGTAGCTTCCAAACTGACATGAATATTTATTTTTTAGATAATTATATTCAACTCTGTGTGTCATATCGTAAACTCAATCCTACAATACTTCACCTGTCGAAGCCTGATGTTGTTAGAATTATTTGCAGAAAAGACCAATGATTTCATGTAGTGAATTTTTGTCAACTGTGACTGTGGTGAGAAGGAAGTTATCAGGGAGGGTGAGGGAGAAACATACTGTGCTTTGAAAACTTCTTAATCTTGGTTTGTCATTTTTTAAAATTAACTTTATAGTGTCCTACATATTTCGTAGTAGGTGGTAGTTTAGAGGCAGGCTCTCCCCTCTAATTTTTTGCTAACTATAGTATATTTCTCTACTGCGTTATGAAGATCATCCCTGGAAAGACCAAGAGTGAGTCCATTGCTCTAAAGGCTATAAATAGAGTGAAGCATGGAATAATCCATGACTGTTTCCTTGGTTCATCTTCACAAGTTTGCAAGAGTAATTATCAAAGCATTAAGAAAATTATTCTCAGCAGAATTGCTTTGAATAAAAGATCTACGATTATAGCCTTAGATTAAACATAAAAAGATTTTAATTTAAACAGAATTTTATGATAGTTACATGGTGGCCCAAGAAAATAAACACATCGAGCTGTCTAATATTGGTACATTTTGCAAGTTTAAGAATTTTTATGTTTTGTTTTTGTAAAAATAAGTTACACGAACATGCTGAGCTGTTTTCCAAACCTTCCAAGAGACAAATATGCCCTTGCGTACACCAAAGAGGGTATAAACGGATCTAGCACATGAGCATATATGAATTGTGTGTAACCTGAGTCCTTGATACAGTAACATAAAAATGTAAACACAGCTAACGTGTGTTGTTGCCATAATCTTCTGGAGGCTGCAAAAACAGACAAATATACTTTCACTGAATTAAGCTGAGTCAGCTTATCAAAACAGTAATGTCGTATGAACAAATTCAATTATAAAATCAGCTGTTCCCTGTGAAACTAAAAAAATAACTGCTGTGCTAGGTGGAAGAGTAGTGAGAATGTCTTAAGAGAAAAAAAAGAGCAGGTTGTCTGAAGATGCTGATTTCATATAGAAATTAAGTTTTATTTGATCTCACAGATAAAGGTGCCCTACCCACATCCTCAAATTCCTACCTAAATTACATTTTTTGGTGATAGTAGTTTTCTTGCTATAAAAGGAGTCTTGTTTTTTTTTTCCTATTTTAAGATTTGTTGATTGTCCCATTAGACTAGACCCTTCCACATATTTTCTCTTGTTGATTTATCTTCTGATTTTTGCCTCCCACAGCTAAAATTTTCTCATTTCAAAAAAAAACAGAGAGAGCTAGAAGGAAGAGTCTTTAAAGCATTCCTTAAAGTACAATAAAAAAGAAAAAAGTGGGAAATCCATCACTTTTTAAGTAAGTGTGTCAGAAATAGCTAGCAACATTTTCCAGCCATCACCTGCATGGTCATGCATCACTCACAGACTGTCTGCAGTTTGCTTGTTACATTTACACAAATCTGGATACATTTAGAGGAAATATAAAATTTCCATATTTACCTATCTTCAAATATATATTAAATAAGAACAGATGTAAAGCAGATTAAATTTATTAATCATATATATTTATTTTTATAATACAACAAAAAACATATTTAGAAAATAAGGAATAGAGTAATTATGGTCTTCCATAGGACTCTGTCAGCAACATCTGTATACTTTGATGAAACAAATTCTATAAAGTATTTAAACTTCTATGGGATGGGCATTCAGTGCTTGCAAGATTTAAATTCTCTGTTAAGAATTTTTTTCTTCAAAAATCCAATGATCCTATTCTATATCTGGTTAATTCATACTTCTTTTTCCTTCCCAAACATCTTTCTGTAGTATTATAAAACTGCCTTTTCACTTTGTCTCTTACCCCCAATCCTCTTTAAAATTTACATTTATATTACATTTATATTTTTTGCAACGGTAAGCATGATAAACTTTAGTGTAAGTTTGAACCGCATCACGGTCAGAGCAAGGTATGCAAGATTAAACAGAAACATTAAAAAATAAGTATATCTATTTCTTTACTGCCTACCAATCACAGATTTGAAAATTTTACATGAAATAGTTTGAGATTTACTAGTGCACATATTCAGTAATTAAAGCTGTTTAATATTCATAACATAGAACGTAATGATAGAAAGAAAATGAGTAACTTCCATAAATCACAAGCCTCCAAAAATAATCTTTAATAACTAAAATATGCATATATAGTCATGTACCTGCTTTATTTTAAAATTCCTAGTCTATACTACTGAGGGGCTTTTTAGATTTTGAAAATCAGACAGCTGAAGGAACCATTTTTTAAAAGTTTCTACGTGGTCAGTTTCCAGCGTATAGTCAACTCATTATCTCATAGTATATATAAGACATAACTGGGAAAATATGTAAAAACAATGTACAATCAAGAAGAGAGATTAAATATGTAAATCATTACACTAAAAAAGCCATCAGAAGTTGCAAAGCTCTTGGTTTAACAAGAATCAAGAATTATAGCACTTTTGCACTTAGTTATAACTTGATAAGTTATGCATGCCATAATCAAGAAAGATTTCTTATTTCACTCTGTATTACTCTTTAAAATCTATCCAACTAAATACCTGAAAAAAAAAAAATTTCCAGCCACAGCTTTAAGGCCCAACTCAGTCCATGCGTGGAAAACAAATCCAAATTTAATCCTTGAAAAGCAGTCTTTATAGGAGGTCTTCTGAAGATGTGGTGAAGAATGAATTACATTACCTATCTCCCAACCACAATTTTCTTAAAAAGCCATTTTTATGTCT